GTCGGAATAGGCATTAGGCTGAAAAATAATCTCATATTTGAGAAACAGATATTTCTGAATTGTAATTCTATATATAGGCTTGTATAACATTCAGAGTTTGAGTTTTTTTCCTAACAAAGGCTTTAATATCTAAGTTTTACTTTGATGAATAAGGGGAGAGTTTTTAGACAAAAATTTTTGAATTCTTTTTTAAATTTAGAATTACCGATTGTGCAAACTGATTATCACTTTTTCTTAAACTATAAAAATGATGTCTTCTTCCCATGTCCTATCTCTTATCTAGAAACAAGTCCTTAAAACTTCACAATTTAGTTGTGATCAGCAAAAGTTGATTAAAGGTTACCAGAGATAACATATCTATTTTAACCTTGATCAAACAGACCAACATTATATTCCTTCCTTTTACTGTTAATAATCTTGATTTTTAGCCCCTTCAAATTATATTCTAGAACTTGATTTCTTTCCATTTTTTATTGTTCCTTCTAACAAAATTCTTCAAAGCTTTAGCTAGCTTCCTTTGAAAATATATCATTCCACCATAATCTTCAGCTCTGCTTTAGTTCAGAGCAATTTTTGATTTGCCATTTCTTCTAGATAAAATATTACATAGTGAGTTAACAGTGAAACCTTCATATGGGAGGCTTTTCTTTGAATTCTTGCACTGAGCTGAAGGTTAGACTTGATGTCCAGAATTACCCCTTTCTGTGAATGTGAGATCTATAAAAATATATTCTTATATTTGCAGTTTTGAAGCTTCTGGTGGATACAGATCCAGGTCATTAGCTGAAATAGGATCTTTTCCTCTTGTGCTAAAATTAGAAAGTACTTCTGCGAAATGAAGCATGCCCCTTATCTGTATATCTCATATGATTTCTTTGATTTGTAGATGCCTGTGGCTTGATCCGATGGATGCTAATGGTGAATCCAGAACGCCGAGCTACCATTGAGGACATAGCCAGCCATTGGTGGATCAACTGGGGTTACAAAGTACCAGTTGGGGAACAGGAATCTTTGCGAGAGGATGAATCTCCATTGGCTACTGTTGCAGATTGGCTCCGCCGTTCCTCTAGGCCTCTGTTTGAAAATGGCTCCAAGATGCGCTGTTTCTTTAAACAACACATCCCAGGTGTCACGTTGGAGAAGCAGCGTTCACTCAAGAAGTCAAAAAAGGAGAATGACGTGTCTCATGCTGTGCAAGAAACGGGCCTAGCACCAGAGAGCCAATCCAAATCAATCCTAAAGAGACCTAAAGGCATATTGAAAAAGAGAAACTCTTGTGAGAAGTCCCAGGGTCCTTCTTCAACTGTGGTAGCACCTCTTGATACACAGAAAGAAGACAATACTAGATCTGCAGTTGAGCTAGCTTGTGTCCTGTCCTCCAGATCCTTGGCCTGCCATACAGCGGATGTTGTAGCTGTCCCTCTCCTGCCCAAGAAAGGAATTCTGAAAAAGCCACCGAAGAGAGAGTCTGGCTATTACTCATCTTCAGAGCGTAGTGAATTTGCAGATGTTTTAGACTCTGAAAACATAGACTTCAATGCCAGTGTTTTTGTGGGCACTTCCTCCTCCACTCAGAACTCCAGTGGCAATCAAGCCAGGCGGAAAGGTATTTTGAAACATAATGGCAAGTATTCCTCCAGCAGCACTGAGTCTGATGATGTGCCTGAAAAAGTCCTCCCAACGTTCCCTGAACTGATCTTGCCCAAGCTGTCCCTCGGTTCCCGCATTTGCCCATCCAGTGCTGTGAGTGAAGACAGCATCCTTTCCACAGAGTCCTTTGACCAGCTTGATTTGCCTGATCGAATGCCAGGAAGCGGAGGAGTCTCCATGCGTGGCTCTGTCTCTGCAGATGACCTCTTGCAGCTGGAGGAGGGAGATGTGGAAACCAAGGGCCGCCGACTCCGACGCTGGACAGTGACTCAGTGCCAAAAACCTCTTGCAGACAGTTGTTTCTCCCTGGCAGACTGTGATAATGTTACCGAAATCTACAAACGGGCTGTGACAATCAGCATGAAACTAAGCTGATGGACTCATTGCCAATAAGGACCACTGACACATGTTTGCTAATTGTGGCAAACATGTTTTACAGCCCAGATTCTGGCATTCTCCAAACAATTTGCACTTCCCATTCAGATGGATAAAGAACTAAAGAAGCAGAGTCTTTGTCTTCACCCTGACAGGGCTGGGAGGCTAATTTATTTTTACATGTTCCTTGTTTCTTTGAGAATGTAAAGGAGCATTTACATTCTTAACATTGCCTGTAAAATGGTACAACAGGGTAGGGCTGTGTGTTTGGAGAGAGAGAGAAAAAGAATATGTTGATAGAAGGGCAGTGGCTGTAGGGAAAAAGTAAAAGTGTAACGGCCTTGGAGTACTGGAGGTTGGGAGAGAATGAGAAGGCATCTGTTCTCTGTCGAGTAATGGACTAAAAGGGATGCACGTTTTTTTCTCCCAACACCATCCACAAAAAAATACAACTGGAATCATGAGTAACTCATTCCATAACATTCTCCTTGAACAGCCTTTATCTCTCCAAACAGACCCTGATGATCATCTCTAATCTTAGTGACTGGAGTGATGATATTATTTGCACTGTGTTTCTTTAATTGCACAAAGAAGTGAATGTGTTAGAAATCCTCTGAAGGGAAAAAAAAAGATTAAAGCAAGGTACTTGGAAAGGAACAACTAAGGTTCTGGTTCATTGGAGGGTATCTGCACTATATATTATTTAGAATTCTAATTACCCCAATATACTTGGATTGAAAAGACAGAGAAAAGGGGGCTCACTAAAAAGATTCAGTTAAGCAGCAAAATAATTGATAAAATGTAGAATACCCCCCCAAATGTGCTTCCATCTGTTAGACTACAATTCCCATAATCTTCAATCGATGTAGGCATGCTGGTTGAGGAAAATGGAAGTGAAGGACCAACATATATGGAGGGAATCATACAGGAAATACTGACTTCTTTGAAGTTAGATGCCCTGGTAAAATCTGGATATAGTAAAGGCACAGAGAAGTTCAGAATTCACTATTCTGTTTTCTGTTTTGGTTTTCTTTTTAGAATGCTAAAAGGGCCCTTTATCTTGAACTTGGTTTAAAAAAAATGACTAAAATATGGTACATTTTTTTGCTCCTTCCAAAAAAGAATGCAAAGTATAATTGCTGTAACCCAACTGTGTTGTAAAATGAATGTTCCTGTAGCTTTCAAGTAGGCACTTGTGTTTCCAGAAATGTGTGCGTGTATAGCTAGAGAGGTCTGAACTAGAATATGCAGTCTAAAAGGTCAAGGTAATGAGGGCTAGGTGAAAATTGTTTAATGGGGAAACATGTTTGTGAATAGTAAGGCATAGCAAGTTTTTTAAAAAAATAAGCATCAGGTCCTTCCAAATTACAATAAATATAGTTGCCTTTGAAAAGATGGTAGGCTATGACTTGGAACCCAAAATATATTTAATTAACATATAGGAAGATACCTTTCTTTGAACTTCCTGATGTTTTCCATATGTCCCAGAGGGTCTCTTTGTTGTTGAAGTGACCCTCCTCCTGAAAGTTACTGGAAGGAAGGAAAGGGCAGACAGCCTCATTCTGGGGTGTCCAAAAATTAATCTGTTTTAGGAATCCAGTCATATTTTCTCCAGATGCCTGTGCCTTCTATATATGGGTTGCAAAAAACCAGTATGTTTGCTAGAGAACATTGGAAAAACAGGAAAACAAATGTCTTTATTTTCTAATTATTTCTGGATTTTTGTGGAAAGATAAATCTGTTTTTTTTTTGTCAAAGTAATGAACTGTTGCATTTGTGTGTGTGTTTTTTTTTTTACAAAAAAATACTGCCTTTTTGACCAATATGTACTTGACAGAAATTTTTTTAAAAATAAGGTATTCTTTTTTAAAAAGGCAATATAGTGTATTCATAATCGGAAGAAGGCGATCTGTAAAAGTGTCCATATTGTAGCATTTGAATTCAAAGTACCAAATGCAGTATCTTGCCATGTATTTTCTGGGTTAACCTTCGAAGTACTATGTTATAAAGTATTGTTCTTCCATCCGAAAAAGATAAATTTATAGAAAAGTGGGACCAGAATTTTTTGTCTGTGCATAAATTGATGCAATGGTTATGCAAGAAATAATAATAAATAATAATAACGAATTGTGTGTTGATGTTGATGGTTACTATTGTTTCCTGCCCAGGCCAGTCATTTTAGACTCCCTGCCAGAAGGGTCTCTGAAGGGGAGGGCAGAGTCCAAAGAGAAGAGATAGCAAATAGAATATTTTGGTACAATCCCCCCTCCTTTTGTATGCTCATGCTCTTATCACAGATGACTTAGCCTTCCATCCTTCCAAGGTGGGTAAAATGAGGATCCAGATTGTTGGGGGAAATATGCTGACTCTGTAAACCCCTTAGAGAAAAAGCACTGTGAAACGGTACATAAGTCAAAGTGCTATTGCTAAGTGCTGCCGCTTCTTCTTGTACCATACTCATCATCGGACGTTGGAGATCATGTTGGCAATCCTATTTTTATCAACAGCTGCAGAAAAAAGTGCTGTTGAGTTTTGTCCAAACCAGTCCCTTAGATTTTGAAGCCATGATGTTCTTCTGCCGGAACCTCATTTGCCTTCAATCTTTACTTGGGGGATTAAGTGAAGTATGGCATATTTTTCTGGGTGTTGCATCATGTGNGGTCTAGTGGAGGTAATTGGCAGTAGGCGGTCTCTAGACTAGAAACAGAGGGCATGACTTCTAATCTTCCTTTGGGCATGAAAGCCTGCTGAGTAAATTTGGGCCAGCCACTCTTTCTCAGTCCAACTTTTACATCACAGAATTGTTATAGTGGGGAAAAATAGGAAGGAAAAGCATTACTGTGTGCACTTGAAGCGATGCACAATAAAGGTGGGGTACAAATTAATATATTTTTTTAAAAATCAAAAAGTGCATTGATATGTTTTATATTTAGAAAGATTGCTTCACTGTTAATTGGGGGAAATTGCATTTCCAGGTTGCTATCAAGTCGATCCGGAAAGATAAAATCAAGGATGAGCAGGATCTTCTCCATATTCGAAGGGAAATTGAAATCATGTCTTCTCTCAATCATCCCCACATCATTGCTGTTCATGAAGGTAAGAATTGTTTGTTTAAATTTAATTTAAATTCATCTACTTGTTTTTCAGGCCTTTCACTATTCAGAAAGGGGGGGGGGGTAATGGAATTTTAGAAATTGTAGCTGTTTTTAAGACAGGGAACTATTTTTATCTCTATAGTTCCAAAGCTGCTTAATACTGCATTTGCAGAATATGAACTCATAGCTAAATCAATATATTTCAGTGGAATGATTTATTTATACATATGCTGTACTTTGAATTGCCTCAATTGCCAAATTTTCTAGGCAAATTATAATTTATTGAAACAGACGATTAAAGATTGACTCATCTGATCTGTGGCTTAATACACCTGCCATGGCCTCTTGCATTTACGAGGATAGAAAGTTCTAAAAGAGACACTTGGTAAAGAACTTTCCTTTTTCTTTTTACTGTTGCATATTGGCACAAGCTGGAAATGTGGCAGTATTAAGTATAAAAAACATCTCAGGGCAATGCCCAGGAAGAGTTTAAACTGGTTTGGTCAGTCTTGATTAGGAGGCCAATTACATAGTATGTAGAGGAAAAATAATATCAAGATTTTCTCTTCAAGCAGTGCTGGCCATGTTTCCAGTTTTTACACATAAATAAATGCTATTCTTTGCCCTTTAAACACAATGCTTGAAGTGCAGCTGGATAAGTGAAACACAGCAACACTGAAAATTTCCCATTGCACTTTTCAGTACTGTTCGTATTTGCTCCTTGTTTTTTCTTTCTTTTCTTTCTTTCTTTCTTTCTTTCTTTCTTTCTTTCTTTCTTTCTTTCTTTCTTTCTTTCTTTTTGGGGTGTGTGTGTGTATGTGTACAAAACAACCTGTACATGTTCTGAACACCAGTTGATTCTTGTGATTTTGAGACTGAGACTGAAGAACTTTGAGTCTGGTTAACTTCTTTGTTCATTGTATAGGTACTATGTACAATATCACGAAGGCACGACTAGGTGAAAGAACTTAAAGCATTGTGTTAAATAAGAAATAGAAAAGTTAACATTTCAAAAGTATCATTCTGATTATTGCAGGGGTATCTGGGGATGTGGTCAAAAACATCATGATGTGTGGCCGTGATTCTGCCATCAAAACTTCACTTATTTTTTATGTGTCAGACATGAAAACTGGGCCAAACTTTGGTCACACCATCTTAACTTTTTAACTGCTTTATTGCTACCGATAGTATTGTAGTCCAGAATCAAGAAAGGCAACATACGAATTGGTAAAAGAAAAAATCTGGTCCTGTTCTAAAGTTAAACCATTATTATATTCAGTGATGAAAAGAGACTGTATCCATATACTGATCCCTCAATTTTTTGGCAGGCGGCATGGTCTGTGACTAAAATTTTGTTTTACTTGCAGCTCATGATATTTCCTAACGGGAATTTCGTTAAACCTAAATCTAATTTGCCTGCTACAGTACATACCGCAGCAGTTAAAACAGTGTTAAACTATTTGGCCATACATTTGCACAAATATACAAATCTCCAGGTTAGGGCAGGAACTAAAGTGACAGGTTTATTATTAGAAGAATTTGGCATTAAGATATCTAGAATTCTTCTTTATAATTGTCCCTAACCTTTTCTCTGTTCTTGTTTATATAGTATTTGAAAACAGTAGCAAGATTGTCATTGTGATGGAATATGCCAGCAAAGGAGATCTTTATGATTACATTAGTGAACGTCAGAGATTGACGGAGCAGGAAGCTCGGCACTTCTTCAGGCAAGTGGTGTCGGCAATCTATTATTGTCATAAGGTTAGTGAAAATGAAAAAAAAATACTAAATATTTCCATTTATATTTTCATATCCATGTTTTACATCTAGTTATTTAAGATGGTTGAAAGCTGAAGCATAATTACCTTATTTAAATATCATAATGGGGACGCATGAGTTTCCTGCAATCTATCAAAAGCACAAGAAGATTTTTTTTTTCCAGTTTTCCCTTATAGCAGTGTAATGCTATATTAGTTTAATATGGAATACATCCATGTGGACTTATTAATAACATTGTTGACTGGTGTCCTTAGCCTTTTATATACATGGGGAGCGTAATTGAACTTTGTTCTCATTCCTAGCTTTCATAGGAGGATGAGTTTTCACCCTCCATTATGGAGGATGTAAACATTAGAAAGTGGATGTCTTCCTCAAAGTGGGGGGGGGGGAGAAGGATTGTGTATTAAGATTCCTGTTACAACATCTGCACAAATTAGTTTATGGTGGTGTTAGCTGAAATGTCCCATCTGGTCCTAGGGAGGCAACTGTGAGATTGTGCATTAGGAAACACATTTACAGTGAAAAACTATGCTAGCAAGTCAAAATTATAAGGTTGTGTGATTTTTGCCTGCTGGATTTGGGGTACTGCTTAAGGCAGTAGGCTTTCTCAATAAGGATGGTTAGAGTAGTATGAATTTCAGGTTTACCCTCAGGAAAATCATATTGGCATGACGTTATAGTGGATTAAAAACTTGATAATGTAAGTCTTGATTTTTCCTTTACTTACAGAAGGGTACTAGGGAAACCTAGATTGTGCTGTCCTATAAATACAGCAAACCCTACGTCCCCACTTTCCTGTTTTGTTTGGGTGTTTAATGGGAAAGAGAACAGATAGCAAACTTTTCCATCATTGAGAATGAGCTCTCTTCAAGGTAATGGAGCCTGAGCAATCATCTTTAGAAAGAATACCTTGCCACAATTGCATTAATTTGCCCAGAGCTTTCAAATTACATGCCAAACATAAGTCACTTGTTATATTGGGAAGCACCTGCTTCCATTCATTTTGTATTCAAAGCTAATGGCACTTGAAAGTCAAGGGGAAAGCTTAATGTAACAAGACTAAGGTACAATTTGGACAACCTCCTTCAAATAGAGCTTGTCAGTCTGGAATTCTAGACGTTTACTGGCCTTATTTTGCAAGCTTTGTTCTTGGAAGAAAGGGGAAAAATAGAAGTAACTCAGGAAGTAATGCTGGGGCTCTAGGAATGTTAAGGGCTATAGATGACTGTGGGCAGTCGGTGGGAACATACTGCATTCCTTTGCAACTAATTCCATTGTCTTAGGACACAGTTGGAAACTGATAACAACTTGCTTTTTGCAAGGAGATGTACTAGTTAGGAAATCTGCATTTTGCAACATCCCCCTATTAGGGGACTTCTCAGTAGCAAAAGGAAATATGTCACCAAAGCATCCTGCAGACATTATTGGGAGATTTCATCTGTGTTACTTAATAACAATTGTGCAGGAAGTTCTACTACTACCATTTCCATACAATTGCACATTCAACATGTTTATTGCATAGAAAATTATAGATTTGAAGCATTTTTATTCAGTGGTACAAAATAGTTCTTAGCAGGAGGCTTCTGGGGCTTTAGTTCTTATCTGTGGGTTGCATTGGTAAGACTGCAGGAATTCCATATTATTACTTTGTCTTCTTTACTTAGTATGCATATGATGATTCTATGTTTGACTTACATCTGTACCTCTATCTGGTGGCTTAGTATTTTGCTTCATAGAAAAATAAATATTTAAGCAAAATACTAATATGTGACACACAATTAGATGGGATGAACTAAGGTCTTTGTTTCCTCTTCTAAGAGGAAAAAATAAACAGGCTTCCGTTTTTCCCCCTCAACAGAATGGAATTGTTCATAGAGATCTGAAGTTAGAAAATATTCTTTTGGATGCAAATGGAAATATTAAGGTAAGTTGGAATTTGCCTGAAATTGCATTTGAGCACTTCTTCCTATGGTAGTTATTGGAGAACTTAAAATATGATGAAGGGCAATTTAAAACAGCAATTTTGAAATGTTTGGATAGTATGTGATGAATACCCCACTTCTCAATCCTCCTCCACAAATGCAGATATTTATATTGGCAGGATGGATTTTAGTGGAGATGCTGGTATGTTAAGCCTTCCAGTGTGAAAATGTTCTAAATCATCTTAAGCGTTTGCACGACGTCATTGCAGATTTGGCTAGTTAGGCAGCAAGACTGAATATTTATAGCTTGACAATGTTCCCTTATTTTGTAGAATTCAAAACATGACTAAGATTCACAAGCAGTCAGCTTTAAAATTGGCTACTTTTAGCAAGGTTGCTACATTCTGCGACTTCAAGCTTCAGGCACTGATGCTTCCACTTTATCCACTGACATCTAATAGATTTCAGCGTTTCGGAAGGGAAATATGAGTCCTTCCTTTTTTTTAATATCTTCAAAAAACTAAACGATGCTGTTATACAAACCCTTGATTTGACTATTTGTGTGTGGATTACTTGGCTCCTGTTAACAAGAAAAAGAAAATTAAAAACAACTAGTCGCCAAGAAGTTTAGCTTATCTTCTGTTCTGCTAAACAAGCAGATTGATAATGCAGAATGGGAGTACAAGGTGACTCTTGGCAAAATAGAATACAAAAAGAAAATTATGTGGCTTGTTTAAGAACAAGAAAAGGAAGACATTTATGGGGCAGTAAAGGAGACTTTGAAACATTTTTTAGACAAACAATTCAGTTGTGTAACTGAGAATGATTCATTATCTTATCACAATTAGCCAAGATGGCAAGTGTGATATTGGATATAAAGGATTTCTAATTAAGCACAGATTGAGGGCACCAGATTATGTCAACATTGCACATACATAACAGTAGGGTTTCCATTGTGATTCTGTGGTTGCCACCTTGCTCATTTTGATCCTTTTCCTTTAACGTGTTGCTGGGCCTAGGCCTCAATTTATATTACCCAAACAATAAGATGTTGTCAAATTGCAAACTTTGAATATATGTGCTGTACTGTCTGGATCAGGGGTTCCCAAACTTGGCAACTTTAAGACATGTGAACTTCAACTTCCAGAATTCTCCAGCCAGCTGACTGGGGAATTCTGGGAGTTGAAGTCCACAAGTCTTAAAGTTGCCAAGTTTGGGGACCCCTGCTCTGGATGATCTGACAACTCTAAATCTAGGACTAGATAGCTTGTCTTTATGTGGACAATGTAGAAACTGAAAGGCTTTCAGTAAAAATACAATTCTAATTGATTTGGGGTTGGAAAGTAATGTTTGTTTTTTGATAGAATTAAACAGCATTAATCTGAGATTATTCTTCCTCCTTATAGATTGCAGATTTTGGCCTTTCCAATGTTTTCCAACAAGATAGGCTTCTTCAAACCTTCTGTGGCAGTCCCCTCTATGCATCTCCTGAGATAGTTAATGGAAGGCCTTACAAAGGACCGGAGGTAAGAGAACTGATTAAATAAAAATTCCCCAGTACTGGAGAAGCATTAATACTATTCAGGCTGCAAACCACATAGCAGAAATTCCTGGCTTTTCCCACTGAATACTTAATTGTTGCAAGATTATGCACCTGATCATGCATATTGCATTTAATAAACTCATTGGATGCTTAAGAGCAAACTGATGGCCAGAAACTGCCATGCAGTTTATAGCCAAGATACACCCTGAAAGAATGACATTCTTATTTTATTGGCAATGATCAGGGCAAGATATTTTTATTTGCACTTCCTGATGTGAATAGCGGTTGCCAATATAAAGATCAAGGAAGAGTTTTATTCCTTGGGTAGACTGATTGCAAGTTAACAGTTGGCTTTTATATCTGCAGGTTGACAGCTGGTCTCTTGGTGTTCTTCTCTATATTTTGATCCATGGCACAATGCCATTTGATAGCCATGATTACAAGACACTGGTAAAACAGATTACAAGAGGAGATTACAAAGAGCCCACCAAACTTTCAGGTAAATTGAAATCTGATAAGGGGTTTTCTGCCTAGGAAATAATTCCACTTTATTTTTATTAATCAGACAACACTTTGAATACTGTTTTTATTGCAGTAATAAAAAGGAGTATTTTTCCAAGGCTTACATTTATATTTCATGTGATTCCAAGAAGAACTGAAAACAAGATATTAAATTAGTGGCAGAGAAAACTTTATAATTCAAAAAGGCCAACGATTAAGTGTAATAAAAGAAGGAAGTATTGCATTATTTGACAAAGTAACAAAATTAGTGGAATGCCGTCGATATAGTTAACTTCAGTAAGACATTTGATAAGGTAGACCATAACCTATTACTAGATAAAGTAGAAGAATGTGGGTTGGACAGCATCACCACCAGAT